TGAACGATCAATTGGCAATTTTCGAGATTGATTTTATGTAGGACACGATTGTTGCACTAGCAAATTACTTTTAGGCTATAACTAAGCACTTATTTACACTTATTATAGTTATTATGAAGAATAAATTATGAAGCAGATATTTCTTGTGTTATAATATAAAATCTCAAATGTATCGAGAGAGCATATTTTGCTTTTAATAATTATCAACGCGAATTCAATATTAAGCATTTCAATGTGTAATTACTGGCATAATATTTGCCGTGCTTATACGCTTTTGAAAGTTGCGGATGATCCAAATATCCGAATTACGGTCGCAGTATAATTGCTGCAGTTATCGTAATAGTATTAATCAGATGAAAATTTGAAATCGAATTGTGTGATCTAGCTATTTTACAGTAGAGATCCAGTATAAAATTAAAAAAATAAAAACTTTGAATCTATGTTAAGAGATCATATATATATATTTTTTTTACACAGTTATTACTATAAATTTTATTATAATTACTTTGGAGAGAGTAAAATACTTTTCTCTTATCTATATTTAATTAGAGAGAGAGAGGATGAGAAATATAAGAAATGAGAAAAATACTTGTTAAAACTTCTTTAAATACTGCAAGACTTTTCTTCATTTCATACCGATTATTCCGAGCCAAAGGAAATATAAATAAATTCCACATTTTTGGAAAAGTATTTTTGCATACGCGAAAGTTGCTTTGTTCGTTATAACGTTATCGGTCGCCTAGCTTCGCACAAAAGTCTGCGGAACATATTCAGACGTATTCAAATGAAAGGGTTATCTTGGGCCATGCTCGAGAGCATAGGTCCATCGAAGTCAAAAGGTTGCGATGTCCGAACACAATGCCAGAGTGGCAGTAGCGTTATCGATAGCATTGTTAGGTTTTGTATTTGTCGTTATCGTCGACGTGTTCGAAAAGGACCATACGATAGGAACGACCGGCAAACGCGACCACGTGCTCGTTAGTTAACGTGCATGTCGGTGAACTTCAATTAGAACGGCGGAGTTTCTCGTCGGATATGGATGCGCGCGTAAACTTATCGAAACTCCTTCAATAGTGCCCAATTGATACATGTACCAATGCATGTATGTATGTACATATGTATATATGTATACATATATAATTGCAAATTCTTTGCAAATTCAACAAATTTTACAACAAACTTGGTTTTTTAATTAAAATGTCAGCTTGTATAAAACTTCGGCATTTTATAAGGTTCAATTTTTGTAAAAAATTAATTTTGTACCAAAAATTTGCAACATACGCGTACATTAGATTATCATTTTAATTTATATCTCAAAATAAGAATCATTTTTTGTTCCATTTAAAAGATTTTTGCTTGCGATTTCCAAACATTCAGCCTGATAAGCAAATTCTATTACATTCGTACCAAAATCAAAACATGAATTAAAACATTTTAGGGGGAAACTGTACGTGTTTCAAATTGTACACTTTCGAATTACACGATAAAATTATAGTAATAAAAAAATAATATTATAATAGATAGATACCCTGGGATTCAAACTATACGCTTTTGCGTTACGCGGTCCACGTTTTTTTTATTTGACCAATGAATAGATAAGCCCTGAAAATCGAGAGAAAATCGAGCGTGAGTGCATAATCTCTCGTGCAATCAAGCAAATCTATAATATTATTATATCGCAACGAACGCGCAGCTACTCGACGAAATTTAATTTCGAATAATAATCTGCGGTCGCATATGACGGAAAAGTGCGAGAATATTACTGATATTACATTTTCAACCAAAATTTCATTCCGGTAATAACATCGCAATTGCCAATGGAAAAGTGAGAATGTTATTGATACTGTCGTTGGAATTTAATTTGGACAATAATCCGGTGATTATGACGTACGGCTGAAATATATGATTAATATTAAAAAGCCAATAACGCGATTACTATCACGAGAAATTCAACGTCATCTAGTGGTATTTTATTACACGTTCATTATCAACGTTATAATTATTATTGATATTATGTTTTAGTTTACTTTCAATGTATTACGATAAAAATATACGTTTATAATTCCACGTAGTAATTTATACATAAATGAAATTGTATTCTCTCAAACAAGATATATTCGCATGTACTTCTATTTATTCCACAATTTTGCAACTTTTTTTTTACATTTTACATAAAATATTTTAAAAATTTTTAAAAAGAGAGAATGCGTGTGCGTTTGTGTATATCAACATATCTTGTTTTATAAAAGGTTCAAGGCTTTGATCATTTAATTTTACGATTATTTTTCCAAGGCTCATAAAAAGCGATATATATTTCACTGTATAATAAATCGGAGATATTCAATCACGCATCGCTATTACACACCGTCGAGCAGCTCGAATACGCGCGAAATTGATGAAAATTCGCGGCGCGAAATCGTATTTCGGTTAAAACGTATCGGCCCTTGCGCGCGCTGTAAATATGCGTGATATCGGTAATTATTTCATTCTATCTCTCCCTTCGTCGACCGAAAATCCGTTGTAGTTAATGCAGACAATAAAAGCAGTTCGGTTCGATCGCCGCAATAATATTGCGGCTCGAAAACGTGTCGACCAAACTCAATTTGCTGACAGTTCGTCGACCAGTGTCCTGTCGTCCTCTATAGGTATCATAATTTTTGTCAATTTTTGTCAATTTTATCGATAAATTTTGCACATAAAATATTTTGAAATTGTCAAAACACTTCTTTGACTACAGGTAAAACGAAAAAATAGGATTAAATCAATAAATAATCAATTATATCTGCCCAAAGCATGTAATATTATATGTTAACATTTTTGTATTAAGATTATACAATTATAAAGAATATTGATTCCCTCCCTCCTTCTCTCTCTCTCTCCCTTTTTCTTCCTTTCTCTTTCTCAAATTTTAATTTAAAAAAATCCAACTTTGATGGAGAACTTCACAGATTATAATTCAGAAGATTATTGTACATATATTGCCAATAATTTGATAAATTGTATTTTCTACAATAACGCGAGATCCGAGAGTACTAATTAACTAAATAGAAAACCACTAAAATTTCTATTTGGCCGGCATGCTCTCGTAGTATTATTGAACTCGTCGGTACTTGAGCGAAATTTCACTCGGCCGAGATAACCATTAATTTTGTGCGCATATTAAATATGTGCGGGGCGTACTCCAGTCTTTACATTATCCACTCAGTTATACCATAACTGCGAGTACATGTCCGACCAATTTAACTAATCTTGTAATTTTATAACAATCCGATTATAAATATTTGAAAAATGATTTGTACAAATCTAAGAACAATTATCATTTCTCCTAACACTGAAGAAAAATACACTGAAAAAATAGAATAAAATGTCGTAAAAAATATTATATTATAACTACTGTATATAAAATATTATATATCAATATTATTAATTTATATTATATAACATATATATATGTGTGTGAGTGTAAAATATATATATTATATAAAATGCTATACTTTAGTGGACAAAATATTGCATAAGGCGTAAATCGATTTCTGTAAAGTATCTTTCTCTAACTTTAAAATATAGAAAAATTTCCACAGTTGTAAAAAACGTTTCTTACATACAAAATACAAATATATGTGTAAGGCACATTTAAAAGTAAATATTTTTGACGATGATTGTGCGCATAAATAATTATTTACGCGAATAATTAAGAATGAGTTTTCGATCTCTAATAATGTGAAACTATTGTAATTTCCTATTCCATATACTGTATCAAATATTCGTGATCTAATATCCTTTCTCTTTGATTTAGAGGACGGGAGGGAGAAATTCATAGTTCATAATATATATCTATCCCTATTAAGGGCGTTTGCCCGCCATCGTAACGGATAACACGTGGGCTCGTTGAAGCACACGGCCGAACTTTCCGCGCGAATATCGAAGATATTCACTATTCAGACCCCACTCGAACGGTCAAGTAGTATACCACTCGGATTCGCGCGCCGAGTGGAGTGGGCGGATTTCCGACCGGCGTGGGGTTTAAACTGTCTGCGAAGTTGCCCTCGCTCCCTTTTCCAACCCTTCGGCGCTCTTTATCGTCGATTCCACTAGCATCGCTTTCATCCCTTCTCATGTGGAAAATGTGTAGGTACACGCATTTGGCCAAAGTCTATGTGTGCGCGTGCGTGTATGCTTCATTGTGAATGTATATGTGCGCAAGTCAGCTATCAAAGGCGAAATTTATCCTGGCTTGTGTATCGAATTGTGGTGAGGTGCTTGTACAGTGTTTAGGCGTATGTTCAAATTGGATAACCCACAAAGTATCGAGATGAGAGGAACGAATGCGATTACCGTTGATATTTTCGAAAGTTCTCTCTCTCTCTCTCTCGCACGCAATTACTTCATTTATTACGTCGATGCACGCGCGAGTCTATCTATTATTCACGTAGTTGTATCATTATTTGACAATCACGATTTTTCTTATATACACAAAATTTGGAATTGATAGAGCTTATGATATCACGTCCTAGTCTCCTATTATTGAGTAATTTCGTAGTGTGTAATATGAGTTACCATTAACACGCCTGTAACGAGCAAGCAAGCGTGCGTACTTTGCGATAACGCATATGCTACAGCTAGATCCCATCAATATGACCGGCGGCGATACATCGATTATGCGAATTCGCAAATTGCGAGTATGTATTGCGCGCGCACGTTTGCTCTCTCTCTCTCTCTCTCTCTCATCTTTCTCTCTTGCCTTATTAAACCCTTGAAATTTCGTAGCGCGCAAGCTTGATGTAATATCTCGTTTTTCTCGGACCGACAAAACAGCCTTTCATTGACAGCGCGATGATTTGCCGCTCGATAACTAATTAGTCAAGAGCGAGATTTTTAACCTGTCGCAACTGACGCGAAAGATTTCTCATTAGAACGGAAGGTACACACTCCCAACGTTTCAAATAATATCCAAATCCTGCTCCGCAGTGCAGATCGAGGTGCTTACGTTCTGAACTTACCTATTATCCCCTAGAAGTGACCCGTTAGCCGCTTACTAGCAAGTTATCCGCTTCCCAAGCTGATTTAGGCATGCGTTCTGAATTTCGCGTCCCGCTTGTCGCTAAAAGTCTTTTCTGCTCATGCTGATCTGCGAAAACAAAAATGATTCTATAATTTATTACGCAAAATTCATATAGTCATTATTAATAGCTATTTAATTAACGCAAAATAATAAAAATTGTCAAACGAATTGTTAAGAATGGTTTTAGTTAATAATGATATTCATTCGCAGCAAATCTAATGTAAAATATATGTTCCAGACTTTCTTCACTGTCTGTTCTTTTATGTAGGATTTTACATTTTAATTTAACTTTGACAATTTTATGCAAAAATATTATATTATATTTCTATAATATATAATATAACTCTCTGCAATATTTCATAATATTCTATATGAATCGAGCGAGAACAATAATAAGAAAAAGCTCCCATTCATTTTCGAGAGAACGAATTATTCTTTCATGCGACCTAAAATCTCGTAATGCACGCAGCGGCAAAAATGAAGTACGGCGTTCTTTAATAATTACGAACGTGCAGAGTCCGTCGCGAGAGCGCGGAACCTCAATCCGCTGACGAAAAATTTAATCCGAAAATTTCGGTTCCTCCTTGGTATTTAGGTCGGGCTGCACTTTTACCGTACATCCAATATTTTCGAACGCGTGATGCGCGTGCAACGCGCGTGCACGCAGAGCGTTGCATGGATCTCGCCATTGAAAGCTTTGCATTTCAAACTACGGTAAAGCTTTGCGGTCTATCTACCTAAAATTGCGAGCGACTGTCGATAGTATGATTTAATCATTTCGAGAAACATTTCTAATCCTCAAGTACTCTGTACGAAAGAAATAGTTCTATGAAGATGTATAGAACGAAGTATTATTTCTTCATAGAAATGAAAAATAAAATCAGAAAGAAATATTTTTATCGGCTCTCAATAATAAGAATATAAATGTGATGTTTTTTTAAATCGGCCAACAGAGCCAAAGCACGAAAAATTAATTATTCGGAACTGTATCTCTTACCTTAGTGATCTCAAACCAAGAGATACAGTTCCGAATAATTAATTTTTCGTGCTTTGGCTCTGTTGGCCGATTAAAAAAACATCATATTTATATTCTGAAAAATAAAATTTAACAATTTCTGTACTATACAAATACTGTGTAATAGAACATTATTAATCAAAGAAAGAATATTTAAAAAATGTATTTATCGTATTCTCTCTCAATTTTGCAAATACTTAATACTTCGTTCTCGAATATAATTTATATAATGAGTTCCAAATATCTTAAATGCTAGCTCGCAAATCTCTGACAAAGTACACTTTTCTAATTTAAGCACTATTACATTTAAGAAATAAAAAGAAAAAAACAGTTTAGTTGATTTACATCAATCGCAGAGCTCGATGTTTTTTCCTCGCATGCAGACTATCGGACTCATAAATCTTGAACTCGTGGTAAACGGAAGTATCAGTACGTAACAGAATGCATCCGAAAAAGCATGCAGATGCACATGTGGCGAACCCTTTACATATTTAAAGTCGCTACGCGATAGCCTTTAATGCTTAGATACGAATTAGGGATGGCGATCGCCTCGGTATTCGTAACTACATCTATAAACTCGGAGTGTCCCAAACCGTAGAGAGCTGCCTCGTCGTTTTATCTCTCCCTCTCTCTCTTTCTCAATCTCATACTATCTCTCGTTCGCGGGGAGAGCCAGGGTTTTCCGGGGATTAACCTTACCCGCGACTCCGCGCCAGTAATTTCCAATTCGACTACCCGACCTGATCTCTGTGTTAATTAAACCCCTCCTCACCGGCTGTGTTGCTATCGATAGTTTCTCCTCTTTCTCTCTCTCTTCCTCTCTCTCTCTCTCACTCTATCTATCTATCTTTTAGTTATGTGAAGCTAAAAAGTTGGTAATCGGATATAGTTGATTTCGAGCAGCTTGAGTCTATTGACAAATATTCGCGTATATGTGACGCTTTTTTGAATTGCGATAACAACATTTATTCTGATAAATGCAACATCGCTCCTTTTTAAATGTATAGGATTTTATTCTACACAAGAAAAATATCTCCGAATTAAATTACGTATAATGTTTACATCATTGTGAATCCATCGATGAATAGATGATTGATACATTTCATATATTCAATAACAAGAAATTTCTAACGGGTTATAATTAATTTGGGATTACTTAGTTTAATCGGATTGACACCATTAACTGTTATTTCCTATTCCCTTTCTGTGGTTTCAACAATAGAATCGGCTGCAAATATAAAGAGAATGCTTAATTAACTGTGCTTAACCGGGAGCAGATGTTAGTACAATCGTTTATTTGATTGTCAAAATATAAAACAACTAATTATTTAAAATCAGAAGATACGCATCCTGACAGACAGAGGTAATTTTGAGCTGCTTACATTTAATTACACTGACAATGAGCGTCTTTAACTGTGCTTCTAATCATATATGTAAGAGCAAAAAAGTTACATATGAAAAAAATGATCACTGTGTACGTTATATATATTTAATAATTTAAAGTTAACAATTACGAAACATTTATAAACACCATATTTTAAGACAATTAACTGTTCTATTTTCGAGATATTAGTTGTTTGATTGACATTCGTTGTTTTATTCTCTATAGATAGTATCTATAGTAAAATATTTATTATCATCAATGTCTTCATGTCTGTTAAGTTCGCATTACTCGTTATAATTAAGCGTCGCGTTGCGAATAAATTCCTACCGTTACCACGGGATGCGTGTTACAGTAACCGTAGAAATTTCCGGTGGAAACGATCCCTATCTCAGGACAGCCATGCCGTAGCGCTGCCCCGTAAAACCATTCAATTATCTCTAACCAATTTTCCTCGTACGACTCTTGATATGGCTTTATGCTTGGTGATCATATTAAGATGTACGGCAAAAGGCATTCCCTGCATATTCTCATGAGATAAAAACGACCGTTTCGCATCCTCTTTTTCTTCCTACTGCCTCTTACTTGTCCTCTTTTTTAACTTTTATTTCTCCTCTCTTTCTCATTACTTCTAACTCTATTTCTATTGTATAATTCCTTCACTTATTCTGTGCAACGTATTTCTCTCTTGCTGTCTTTCTGTTTTAAAGCTTTGCTATAGAAAAAAAATTTCTAATAATTTCTACCATTTAATTTTATGCGATTAATTTTCGCACAGGTTTGAAATAGACAGCTTTGTCCGGCTAGCTGTTCGCTTTATTACACCGCGTTTTTATCCCTTTTTCTTGTTAGAGATCCATAGTCAAGCGAGTGGATTTCCATTCTTTCGCCGTTACATTCCGCTCCGCTTTTATCCGCGAATTTTGCTTGCTGCTTTTTTCACCATATTTTTACTCGTCGCATTACTTATCCTTTATTGCGCATTCGCATTTCACATTTAGCGCTAAATATGGACGGCTACCCCAATTTTACTGATGCAATACAAAAAATATGTTCGAAGATTAAAAGTCCGATAACTGCGTACATAATATGAAATGCACTGTGTATTTCCGTAAATTTTCACATCTGTATCATTATCCGTTCTTAATTTTCTTATACCTTTACCCTTCTTAATTATCCAGCCTGTAACATATTTTTTTTCAGCAACATTCTGTGTTCTACGTTTCAGTTTCGTTCTTCAACGTCACCCTCTCTGGATCCTTTGATATGTCATTCCCGCCTCACCGAAATTCTTACCGCCATTTTCTTGCCCGTCGGCGCATCTTCAATTTTTCATTTCTCGATCGAACGCTTTTTCGTTTCCTGACATTTGCGTTACTCCTCGACCGTTACTCCTTCTTTTATTTCCCAAGCTCTCGTCGATTCGTCTCTTCATCCGATTCCATAGGTTGATAGTTCACAATCGCACCGTTGCACGCGAGTCCATTCTCTCATTTTGTCGCCTTTTTATCTGTTTAGTAGCAAAATCTCTTAGCGGTAAAAGAATAGAAAACAGATACTATATATTTCTATCTACTAATTTTGATCTTTCTTTTGTAATGCATTGAGTGCCAAGAATGCAGATAAAAAAAGTTAGAATAGAAACAAACTAAAATATTCTCTATATTTTATATTTAATATTTGCAAATAATTAGTTATTGTGCGTAAGTTGTAAATAAATATTATTTCTTTTTTATAGCGAGAGAAAGAGAGAAAGAGTTAAAAGATTTTTCACGACATTTGTTACGTTTATGTGCGTTCTATCATTTCATTGGAATTCTCTTTTAACTGCCGCTAATGTAATATTCTGAAATGTCTGAGACGAAAGACCAAACGTTCCAAGAATACATTTTACGATACACGAAAGTGCATTTTCCTGCAAATAAAAGCGGTTGATACTTCAACAAGATTGCTTCGCTTCTCATAACGTTATTATTGCTATTCAACCAGACAATCTATAATAAAATAATCAAAATATTAAACCGCATTACAATGAGAAAATAACAATTGATAAGATAATAATAACTGTATAAATGCTGAATTGCTATAATTGTATAGCATTTATTCTATATAATTTATTAGCAAAAATTTATTATTTAAATATCCAGTAAAAATGTAAGTATAGGTACATTATACACAAATTGTATTTGTAGAATACACATTTAACAATTTGATTGTTATGCATAAAATATTAGTATACAGCGACACTCATAAATTTAAGCTGTTCTTTTAATTATTAATTATTATTCTATTATTCTATTATATACAAAAGTTGTGAAAGATTTATTATAATTGTTTTTATAAATAATAATTTTCAAATAATTTTTATTTAATTAAATGTATCAGTCTTCTGAGAACACTTCTCAGAAATATTTCCTTTATTTCTCAAAATAAAATTTCTAAAAATGCATCTATAATCAATTTTATTTTACATTTGACTGCTAGTTTTAAATCGATAGCATTTTAATTTTTTAAAGACACTATTTTTAGAGATTCTCTTTAAATTAATACACATATCAAGACCTAATCGACAGAAATCAACAAAGAAATGAGATGAGTCTTAAAGAACCGTTGTGTGCCACGACGTCAATTTTCTACAAATTTATTGCCGCTCGTAAAATTAAAAATCAC